CAAATTTTCCAAAGAGTTTCAAAGATACCTTTTATAGTCGGTTTGTTCTAATTAAGATTCAAACCTGGCATTTGGTGTTATTTTATAGAAGAGACCTAGAGACACAATAGTGTCCCCTCCCACCATTTTTTTTTTCATGCCAGCATTCTGTCACTGGCATCAGGCAACTGTCCCGTAGTAAGATGCATGGACTTTTGAAAGGCAGACATGTGCGGTGGGAGAGTGCATTTCATACGCTTGGAGCAAGAACTGTGAGGCAGCTTTGCTGGGTGTTGGGGCGGAGAGGATACTGATCACTGGCCTGTGCTAGTCTTTGCACAATGGGAAGTTGGGCTTAGGGAGATGACTTCAGAAGCAGTTGTTAGAGTGGAGTAGGAAGAGTTGGTTCAAGGCCGTTGCCAATAGAAAAACAGTGAACGCTGCACCTACAGCAGGACGGCAGTGTTGCTAACAGCCTGGAACGTGGAGTGCAGAGGCCTGGCTTCCCTTCTCAGCTCCACCTGCTCTAGCTGTGTGGCCTTCGGCACATTTTTTAGCACACCTGAGCAAATGTCTCCTGAGTTATAAACATGAGGCAGTACCTGCCTCAAAAGTTTGTCTTGAAGATTAAATAAAATTACCCTGAAAAGTGGGTAGTAAATGCTCAAAAAAGTTAGCTATTGTAAGAGTAGCAGCGCAGGCACTGGCCAAAGGGTCATCTGTCAGAGGCCTTGCACAGCGGAATGGTCCCAGTGACAGTAGGATGTGCTGAGAAACAGGAGTTAGGCCAGAGGTCACACATGAACTCATTTTTTTGGTTGATTTTTCTTTGTTAAATGGCATTTAAATATATAAAATAAATATTAAAAATATAAGTCTTTGTTTTACTATGGTTGCAAATATCAAAAAATTTCTATATGTGACACGGCACCAGAGTTAAGTTAGGGTTTTTCAAAATGCTGACACGCCGAGCTCAAAAGGTTCGCCAGCACTGAGTTAGGCAATTGAAGACTCACTAATAAGTAAACTTTTTAAATCTCTTCTCCCCAACCCTCAAAACACACATATATGTGTACACACACACACACACACACACACACACACACACACACCATCTCTCACAAAGATAGAAAAACAGGAGGAAATAGCTTGGCAGAAAAAAGAAAAGATTACGACTTTGTGTGTGTGTGTGTCTTCAGCAACAGATACACCGGAAACATTAGAAGACTATCCATGTAGAGAAAACCACTTGGAAACTGAGCATTTGGGTCTTGAACTCTTTAGAAATGGCAGAGCCAGGGCTATAGTTTCAAGGATTGTCTACTTTGGCATGATTAAATCAGTAGTAAGATAAAAATCACAAGTAAAAAGGTGAAGATAAAAAAAAAGCAAATTAAAAAACACACAAACTGGAAGTCGGCCTGAACACACTGAAGACCATAGAGGGCAAGAGGAAGGAAAGGAGTTTGTGAATATAAGAAGTGTGTCTGAATGTGGGCTGGGATTTAGAAATGGCTACAGTGTAATGGAAACCCAGGTTTCTAAGGAGACTGCGCATCGGTGTCAAATGCAGAGCGCAAATAGAAGAGGTCTGGGAGGCAGCGGCTGAACCGGGTGTTAGGAACTAATTTAAGACGCAGGGCCGATCTGGGGATTGTGCTCTAAATGCAAATCTGGGAACTATCTATACACAAGGAAAAATTAAGGACATACAAGAGGGAGCAAAGTGAATGTCGGGAAGTAAGTAACCTCAAAGTACCTGAGAAGGTGGAAAAGCCCGAAGACTGACAAAGCCCTGGCTTGGTGGGCGGGACGTCGCTGGAGGGTCCCGTTGAGAGCCACGGAACGGGATGGCTCCTCTTCGAGTTGTACATTTGTGAATTACAAACCCATGAGAACATATGTAATTTTTTGCAGAAGGGCCTGTTCCACATGGTGACGACAGTACCATGGGAACTGAATTATCAAAGCTACTATTTAATGTAACAAAATAGGGACGGAAACATTCAGGAGCCGGGCGCGTTCATTCCAGCAGAGAACCACAAGTCTCATGAAATAGGCCAGCCTCAAAAATGCGCAGCGAGTGCAGAGTGAAAAACTAGACACGTCCCCCTCACCAAGCACATATGCCGAGCGCGCTCACCACCCCAGAGCGAATGCTTTAGTCTAACGTGCTTCCTGAGTTACACCGCTACCATCAGAGCCCTGCTCTGGAGCACGGACTGTGTTAGACCCAGACTCTTACATCCTTTCTTTCACAGGCAAGACACTCAATTCATTGTGTAAGGGGAGTTTCAGAGGCCACTGAAAAGTTCTGGCATTGCTGGTGTGGCGCCTCTGCATGGTCCATCCAATGTTTTCCATGACACGCATGTGCCTTGGTAACGAGTGGGCAGCTGGAGTGACCATCCCGCGGCCTCTGGAGGCTGCTGAGGGAAGGTGAGTGACAGGCGGGGCAGGGCTGCCACGCGCACATTGCAGACATGCGGGAGGATGGAGCGCCTCTCCACCCACCGTGCAGCTCAGTTTAGTCTACCGCAATTCATCCTTGCTCTGTTCTCTGTTTCTGTTCTTTACCATGAACCATGGGGCTATGCAGCTGCGCTCCAGACAGGACTCAACACAGCTTTCTTTCCTTTCATGGAAAGGCAGTTACATTCATCAGGAAGGAGAGAGAATTCCAACCTCTCGAGCCAAGAGGTGAGGCTGAAGGAATTCCATGTCTTTTAATTTCTGGAATCTGCGATGAGACCAAGTGGCAAACTGCAGGCACAATCACACCCAGTTGGTTTTTAGACTGCGTTCTGTTTCTCATTTCTAACTCATCTTCACTGAACCTAAGAGCTTTTCAGTGGGTTGGATGGTGAACATTTGTTGTCTCCTCAGCTGGGGACAACAGTTGATTTTTCTCACACAAAAAATTACTGTCGAAAGTACGCTGTGGGCAACTCAGAAAGTGATCGCTAGGGTCTCATCTTAAAGTAAAAAACAGGACAACTTCACCGATAAGTTCTGAATTCTAATAGGCTTTGTCCATATGGTTACTATTTGATTCTCCCCATGCTCGCGGATGGCCCCTTATGCAGGTACCACATCTGCTTAAGAGTTAAAACAAGTGTCCTCCCCAGCCATAAACAAGATTTTCAGAGGCGATTCTGGGACTGCTGAGCGGGCTCTATGTAATGAAAACAGAAAGCTGAACACCATGAAACTCCAGTTCAAAGGCTAGACATATCAAACACACAGATTTCCCAGGGAGAAAAGATTCCTAAAAATGTCACTGAGAAAGAGAATAACGAAGCAATAAAAGGCACAGGGTTTTGTGATATTCAGTCCATGCAGCCTGGCCGGCAGGCCTCGATCTGTCTTCACCTGGTACTGGTTTACGTTTAGAGTGGAATTGGCTAAAAATAAACCTCAAAATCCTAGATGGTCTGAAGTAGCCACACGGCCTTCGCTTCAAATCACACACCATGTCTGACATAAAAAAAAAAAGCAGCAGTTGAGTATGTGAGAGCCCTCTTCCTCCAGAAGTGTAGGTTCTGATGTCACCACAATGTCATCACTCATATTCCAGGCCAGAGTTACCTAGAAATCCTCCCAGCACTTCCTATTGGACCTCCTGGCCTCTTGGTCCTAAACTCACATACCCTGCGTGGTAGACAGAACAATGATGTCTACATCCTCCACCCTGGAACCTGTGACTTTAAAGTAGGGAGACTATTCTGGGGTATTAGGTAGGTTCCATGCAATCACAAGGGACCAGGGTTAGAGGTGTGATGACGGTACCAGGCCAGAGAGATGCTATTTCACTGGATTTGACAACGGAGGATGAGGGCTGCAAGCTGAGGAATATGGGTGGTGCCTAAAAACAGAATAAAAGGAAAGAAAAGCCAACATCCCGCTGACGACCCCTAGATTTGAGTCCACCCATGCTGGATGTCTGACCTATAGGACTATACCATAGTAAGTCTGGGTCGTTGAAGCCACTGACTGTGTGGTAACTCTTATGGCTGCGGCAGAAAACTAAACGCTGTAGGAAGTGGGGATGCTTCACCTCAGGCACTTCTCTCCAGTGCTAGGAGCCGGTGCCTGGCTTTCTCTGGCAATAAAACCCGTTCATTTCCTTTTTTTCTAGTTAAACTCCAGATTCCAGCAGAGTGCTAATCCTCAGAAAAGATGGTATATAATAGCACAGCATCTTCTAAATTTGAGTGTGGGGGCGGGAGGAGGCAGGAGGTGCAGTGGGGGAAGTTAATCTTTCTTTTATCCTCCCATTTTCTTTCAGAGAGATGTAACACTATTGTTAGAAACACAATCCCTTTCTAGTGGACCTGCATTAATGTGGTTTGAAAATCTGCCTTTTCAGTTTCTCTGCTCTTTTTTTTCCCTCCAAAATACCTCTGTGTGCTGTGAATGTTTGGATAATCTGAGATGATCTAAGTGGAAAGAATTTTAGCTCCCAAACCATGTAGTTTTTCGTACTATGCCCTCAATCAATTCAGATAAGATTTGATAATATTTAATACACAGCAACAGCAAACAGTCCTGAATTAGAAGGTGAATAATTTAATTAGCATGCTAAGACTTGGAATAGCTGATGTAAGAACATTAAAAGATTTTACATTCAATTATTTATGGGGTATTCTTTTTCATTGCGGTTTGTATGCTAGCTTTATTTTAATTGGAGAAAAATAGCAAGAGATCCTCTGAGCAAGTTAAGGTACTATGGATCAAGAACCCATTTATGTAAAGATTTTTCAGGATCCTCTTGGGGTGAGGACATCACTAAACTCCATGCCTAAGAGGAATGAGTCTGTGTGAGGCCCTGTTTCAGTCCCTTTGCCCCAGATGACCAGAAAATATTTCTCTACCAAGAAAACAAATGAGTCGTCAGACCAAATGAGTGGTGAGAACACCCAAAACCTGGTGGTGGGGTGTGATTTCATCAGGAGCACATACCAGAAGAAGAGATGGTTTAACCCACCAAATAAAATTAAAAATAGAACGGGAACACTTACCCTCAGGTCTCCGTTCAAAGTTTTTGGCGTGTGATTGAACGCATGTGCGGGATCCTTGTTATACACTTTGAGGAGCGATCTGTCCTGAATGTTCCTGGAATAAAAAACATCAGTAACTGTGGCAGACGAAAGGAGCCTTACTTTGGCCATTGTCTTTGTCTGCCCATAAGAATCAGGTACAAGGCAGCAGCAGACAATCCAGCTGTTGTCCACAAGCAACCAGACAAAAGTTCTTTTACCACAGAATAGGCAAAAATAAATAAGGAAAAGAAAAATGACCTCAGTTTTTCTTTCCTTTTTTTTTCTTTTTTCTTCTTTCTGTGTAGTTTTCCACCCATTGATAGAGGGTGGCATGGAATTTCTTAAGATATTGTGCAAAGAAAGGTAACACTTAAAGAAACAGTAAAGCTCCGATATCTACAACATGCTCCAAGAGATTTGGTTAATATTTAAATATTTAATTGCTTACTTTACCCAAACACCCATTTTTCTGCTTATCACATGAATGCACACACACACCAAAAATGCTTTCCCCCTTCAAACAGTTTCGGCAAGGAAAAGAATATCTATTTGCAGCCCCCCCAAAAGTACCACAAAGATCAAAACAAGTATCGTTACAATGCCTTCTTTTTCTTCCACAGTGGGTTTTAAAAAATACTTTTCTACATACAAGTTGAATGAGTGGATGCACAGGGTATTGAAACGGAATAGCTGCTGATCAATTCTTCCACCTGTCTCTCTCTCCTTCTGAACCCAGCATTTAGAGCTGGGGAGTCAGTCACACCCCAGCAAAGAACAGAAGTCCCACACCTTTTCTCAGTTCCTACCTTAACATTATTTAAGACCATATGAGTTGTCTACGAAGTCCTTTTCCCTTCATATTCAGATTTCATCAGCAGAAGGGCCACCCAAGGCCCTGTCAGCCTTGCCTGCATGGTGATTCCTTCCAGGGCCAGCGCAGGGAGTGTGGGGAGGATGGGGGTAGGGGGGACGATGTTGCAGGAGGACACATTCCTTTCCTCCAGGTGCAGCCACACGTTTCGTGGGCTGATCGCAATCACTGGGATTACTGGGTTATGTTTTTGTTTTAAACGGAGTGGAGAATTCTTGGACTAGTCTTGCTTCCCTCTTTTAAATACCCGTCAGTAATTGCTTTGAAGCAGTGACTAGCCCAAGCTTGCACCATGACTCCAGGTTTCAAGTAGCTCATTAGAAGTCAGCTTAGGGGGGCATGTGCGGTTCTTGTTATTAAGGGGCTAGGTTACTCTGAAGGGGGAGTTCACAGGAGGTGAGAATGTGGGGGTTCACTAAAAAAATTCACCCTGTAGCTTCGGGGAAAAGTCACAATAATGATGTGGAGAAACCGAAAAACATACTTGAGCCATGAAAAAAAACCTGGTGTGATTCTAAAGGTATTTAAAGTACCTTGGTTTATAATTAATTTAGAAACATGTTCATCCAAGATGAACCAACACCAAAGGCCCAGATTTCATTTACCATGGCAACATTTACAACACAGCATTTGAACCTGAACTCTCTGTGGCATTTCCCTAAGGAAAATATGAAGAACCCAACGCAATGATGAAACAGCCAAACTTGTAACAAATATATTCTCACTTCCAAAAATACTGAAGAATGTAAAATGAAATTTGTCTCTGGGTTCAGATGAAAGCCATTGTCGCCGAAACCGGTTTGGCTCAGTGGATAGAGCGTCGGCCTGAGGACTGAAAGGTCCCAGGTTCGATTCCGGTCAAGGGCATGTACCTGGGTTGCGGGCACATCCCCAGTAGGAGATGTGCAGGAGGCGGCTGATCGATGTTTCTCTCTCATCGATGTTTCTAGCTCTCTATCTCTCTCCCTTCCTCTCTGTAAAAAATTAATAAAATATATTTAAAAAAAAAAGAAAAGAAAGCCATTGTCTTCATTTAAAATCCACATGGTACATTTTTTTTTTGGAGGGGAAAGAGGTTTTATATAACAGTAATGTTGAGAATTTATTTGATCATTCAAATAAGATATACTTGAAGCATTTTATGCATAAAAGCAAAGAAATAGAATAATTATTTGGAAAGGATATGGATATATATATATATATTTATATATACATACATTTTCTCCACATTTTTAGACCCATTTTTATAAGTAAATCAAAACACTAAAAAGTAAAATCTAGACAAATGACTTCCCAATTAAACATTTTAAAATGAGATTTAAAAAAATCAGGCTATTTACACTGTAGCATGAGGATAAACAAGATCATAATTTTTGCAAATATAGACATGTCAACTGAAAATTATCAATGTTAGAAATGATCACTTCTCTCACGCACTTGCTTGAATTTGCCTGAAAAAGGACCATCTTAATTTGGGAAGTTGGGGGACCTTTCCTTTTTGTCTTCCCTCCCACTTCCCTCTTTGTGACTATGAAATGATACTCCCTCAGAATGCTTAAAGGAAGTATTAGTAGTACTCTGAGACTTGGGGAATGCTCTAGAATATTGGGCCTTATCTACACTAATAAAAGAGAAAAATGGTAATTGGCGTACGACGCTACCCTTTTCATTGGCTAATCAGGGCTATATGCAAATTAACTGCCAACTAAGATGGCAGTTAACTGCCAACAAAGAGGGCGGTTAATTTGCATATGTAGGCACAATGCAGGGAGGCGAAAGGGAAAGCAGGAAGAAGCCCCCTGCCACTGACAGTGATCGGAACCCCAGGGGGGAGCTAAGAGCTGAGGGGCAGGGCAAAGGCGGCACTGGGGCCACCTTAGCCCTGCCCCCTGGCCATGATCAGAGAAGCAGGCGCCTTTTCCGCCTTGGCCAGTGAGAGCAGGAAGTAGGGGTGGAGCCAGCGATGGGAGCTGGGCACGGTCAAAGCTGGCAGTCCCAGGGCTAGGGGTCCCTTGCCTGGGCCTAAAGCGAAGCCCATGATCGCGGGGTCACTGCAGCTGCAGGTCCCCGCTGCCCGGGCCGGACGCCTAGGCCCGAGGCGTTAGGCCTGGGCAGGGGCGGAGCCTGCAACCGCGGGGAGCTGGGGGTCCCCTGCCCAGGCATGATTCCTGGGCCAGAGGCCTCAGGCCTGGGCGGGGGGCAGAACCAGTGATGGGGGGAAATGAGGGTCCCCTGCTCAGGCCTGACGCCTCCCTCAGAACGTTCATTCCCTGCTCAGCTCATCTGGGCCACAACTGTCAGAGGCGTCAGGCCTGGGCAAGGGGCCAATCCTGCGATTGGAGGGTGATGGGGGTCAACGCCTGAGGGCTCCCAGTATGTGAGAGGGGGCGGGCTGGGCTGAGGGACACTCCCCCCCCCAACACACACACCCAGTGCACGAATTTCGTGTACCGGGCCCCTAGTCTTATATATTAAAAGCCTGATATGCTAAGTGTCTGACTATTCAACCAGTCACTACAACATGCAATGACCACCAGGGGGCAGATGCTCCGACCATAGGTTAGCTTGCTGCTGGGGTCCAGCCAATCGAGGCTGGGCGAGATGGGTTGGACATGCCCTGGAGCTCTCCAGTGGTCCTTCCCCGGCCCCAATCATCCACTGGTGGGGTCCCTCAGCCTGGCCTGTGCCCTCTCACAATCTGGGATGCCTTGGAGGATGTTGGAGAGTCAGTTTCGGCCTGATCCCCAGGCCTCTAGTTGTAATATAAAAATTCTTGCATGAGCTGTGAGGCAGTGGGTCCAATTGTTCATAATAACCTCATCAGTCTTGAGCTCCATAATCAAAAGTGGCTTTGCCTAGTTTCATGCTTATTTGTTATTATCATATCTCTCAATTCCTCTAACTGCAAAATGCAGACATTCAAGAGGAGTGTTCTAAAATGTCACGTCCATGTAAAAACTCTACATGGGATTATATTACCGCAAACATACTCTTTAAACATAACATGATTACTTCATGTTTAAGTTTATGCTTTATAAATTTCCTTTTATTGGTGACAGCCTGGTTAATAATTTATTTCAAAAAACAAACATGAATTTTCTGTTACTTATGAATATTTAAACATGTTTTTTTTTTTTAAAAAAAAAAAGCAGGAAGGTTATGCAACGGATGCAGCACCCTCTACCTTAGGGCATGTGTCAAATTTTGAAAGCCCTCAATTGCTCATACAACTTGGCACTTGCCTAAATATGACATTGCGATCACTGTTAGATATTTATCAGTTTACATTTATTATGCATTAAAGGCACATTTTTAAAAAGTGGTTTCTACTAATTCCACAATGAAGAAACAGGTCAGCCTGCTATTCCCCAAAGGGCAAGTACTCAGAAACTCAAGCTGTGGCCCAGATGAGCTGAGCAGGGAATAAACGTTCTGAGGGAATAAAAAATTCTTGACCAAGAATGTGGACAGTCAGGTTTTGAATAGGTATAGCCATGAACTGGCTGCGTGATCTTGAGTAAGTCCATTAACTTTTATGCATCTGAATGTCTGGTACTATAACATAAAAGGCTGGAATTGTCACTAAATAATTTTTTAATTTCTAAAATGCTTAGAGGCTATACTAGCACCTGCTTGTTGGTGTTAATTTAAGTCCTGTTTTTCAGGCTGTTTGTCTGGGACAGATTAGATGGGTCCCTTCTGCTCTATACACAACACCACCATAGCCGATAAAGATGCTTTAATCCACTGCAGTAGCAGGCGTCCATGGAGCCTCACTTTAGGGTATATTCTACTGGGCGCCCTGGAGAAGCCCACCTGGAGGAGATCCTTTGGTAAAGGATCTCCAACTATTTAAGAAACAACTGGGAAGGGAGAATCGTCTCAGCCTCCTTTCCTGTGGACAGTAGCAGATCCCACTGCTTTTATTCTGACTGGCTCATGTGAAGAATGACTCAGTGGGATCATTGCCTAAGATGTCCTCAGGCTTGTCTGTGAGGGCAGAGCAGCTGAGAAGTTGGGAAAGTTCCCGTCAGAAGTAGTTCCCGTCAGAAGTAGTGTCTTCAACTCTGACGACCTTGATCAGGTCTCTCCGCCTGGGCCTCAGTTTCCACAGCTCTTAGTTACCTGGTGGACTGGATCATTTCCTAAGTTCTTTTCAGACGTAACATGCAAAGATCTCAGTGGGAGAAGTCTAGACACCCTTGCCTTTGTAAACCACTTCTTTGTAAGTGAATGATGGAAAGCCAGCGAGTGAATTCCCACCTGGGTGAGATAAGCCTGCCAGGTAGGAACAGGCTTCTTCACTGGGCCACAGACAAAGTAGGACTCATACAAACTGTAGCAACACTAAACGCAGTATGGTACACACACACACACACACACACACACACACACACACATACACACACACGGCGTGACTACTTACCTTACATCATTTAGTTCATAATAGACATTTCTGCTCTCGTCTTTGATGTAAATGGCGACACTGGGCGACTCCAGCATTTTCATGGTGAGCTGCTGTGGGAAGGCACTTACGAAGAGAGCCCGGATCGTGTCTGCACTTGTGATTTCGTTGGGCATCCTGAGCTGCTTGGTTTCATCTCCATACTGGAGATAGAGAACCCCTGCGTGCAAAAGGAGCACAGCGGTCACTCTCAGGCCAAGACTCAGGACACGCAGCACAAGCTAAGCCACCTCTGTCTGGCCACGTGCAGGAAATGCTGTGGACAAGCTTGAAAGCATGCAATAAGAAATATATGTTCGGAATTTCCAAGGGGTGCACTCTCTGGTTATCTCAAAAAGTACCCATTTTTATTCTTTGGGAGTCCGGGCAAGTGTTAAAGAGGCTAATTTTCAATTTTTTTTTTAAAACCAAAAGAATAAAAAGCGAACCTCTGGCAGCCTAAAGCAAAAGCCAATACTTAATCCCCTTGAAAGGTAGACTTAGGAATTTAACAGCATAGGGTGATCCCCCTGCCCCCGCCCCATGTCTTTCACTAACTAAAAACACATTCAGTATAGCAGGGGTCCTCAAACTTTTTAAATAGGGGGCCAGTTCACTGTCCCTCAGGCCGTTGGAGGGCCGGACTATAGTTTTAAAAAAAAACTATGAACAAATTCCTATGCACACTGCACATATCTTATTTTGAAGTAAAAAAACAAAACAGGAACAAATACAATATTTGTATTTGCATGTGGCCCGTGGGCCGTAGTTCGAGGACCCCTGCAGTAGAGCCATGTGTAAGATATACAGTTTAAGTCTTTATGGTCCATTCAGAAACATTTTAAGTGGCAATGTTACAATATTTCTGCGATCTAACACATGCTTATTTAATGTTTACACCATGTGAAACTTTAAGGAAAAAGTGGCAGCCTGATGTCTTAGAAAGAAGCTAGAACAAGTCAGTTGCACAAATGAAAACAAGCACAGGATCACAGGATTCCAGCATTCCAGAGGGTACGTGGCTCCCAAGGAACCATGCCTATAAGAGTAGCCATGCTCTTGTAAAGTGCAGTTTCTTCCAAGATCCGGTCTGAGCTTGGCCATGTGACTTTCTTTGGCCAATGGGACATTAGCAAGTGTGATGCAAAACGGAGGCTAGCCAAGTGTTCGCACACTAGAGCTTGTCCTATTGCTGGGCATGGTCGTGGGTTCCCCTCACAGAATCACACTCCCGTGGAGTCCAGGCAAACATGTGGAGGCCGCATGGAGAAAAATGGAAGCCCTGACTGGTGGCCCCACTAAGCATCCGTTCTCCAGCCAGTCATGAGGGTGAACCCTCTTGGTAGGGGTATCCCTCCCTCCCGGGAGAACTGCCTCCATCACACGAAACAGAAGTCATATGAAACAGAATCGAGAGCCTGGCCCACGTTGCAGAATCATGAGCAAATAAATGACTGTGTTTGTTTTAAGTCACTATGTTTAGGGTCATGTGTTACTCAGGAATAGATAACCGAACCAGGGAATGGGAGGTCCTGACATTCAATTTGTATCCTATTGTGAGAATCTACTGAGGAGGGACTACTACTTACTACTAGACTAATCCTTGGCAGGAGAGATTTAAAAGAGAACAGAATATGACTTCTGGTTAAATATGGCCGTTTGTGTAACACATTTACCTCTTTCTCCTCCTGAAATTCCATTAAAATGACAATGAGGAATAAAAAAGCAAACATTAAAGAATCAACAGAACAGGAGAGGAAACAATAGCAGGCAAGAGAAAGCTGACACCTACGTCTTCAAGGAGACAACTCCACATAAAATGCAGGCCCAGGGGAGCTCCGGAAATGAGCACCAGACTCTGAAGGCAGG